ATCCAACTGCGTTCCAGTGGGGGTTCAAGAATGCCCAGTGTGGGGTCAACACGCTATCGCGACCAACATCACTCACCATCAACATAAACGACCTGATGGTAATCACCATCATCACGCCGTCATCACCATCGCCAGCATCATCAGCATTATCGTCGCTGTCATCACCGTACTCGTCGCCGTCGTCATCACCGCCATCACCAAACAACAAAGTTCTTTGCGCATTTCCCAGGGCTGGACTCGCACGCCCCGCGTGGACGCCCGCTGCGAGTCACGCCCAGAACGGGCCCCAGAGCACCAGAGCAGCACTCAAACCTATCCAATTTACCACCTTGGACCTGCACGTTCCACCTTCCCCTTGCCGGGCCAAGACCTGGCCCTTGGCCTCCTGGTTCCAGGGGCTGTTGAGAATGGCGTGCGGCTCATTGTTGAAGTCACCCATGGCCATCCAGGGGATCCTCATCTGGCAGACCCAGTGCACGATGGTATCCAGCAAGGCAGCGTTCAAGGCCCAGGTGACAGGCTTGCCCGTGAACAGGTACACCGAGAAAAAGGCCACCCAGCCAATGCCCTTGACCTCGGTCATGCCCAGGCACAGCCTGCCTGCGGCGCCCGCGGGGGAGATGTCCCACGACGCCTGGCCTGGCGCCAGGCTGAGGCTCAGGCAGCGCGGTGTGACCAGCGCCACACCTGCGGAGTAGCCGCCCTCTGCCGTGCGCACGGCAGGCGCACCCACAACTCGCCAGCCCCGTCGCTCTTGCGCCGCCGCAGTGACGTGGAACCACTCGGCGGGCTTGGCGTGCTCCTGCACCGCTAGGACGGGGACGCCGCCGCTCTTGATGAGCTGGCCGATCTCCTCTTCCATGAACTCTTCGACGCGGGCCCAGGAGAGGTTGGCATTGATGGTGGCGGCGATGACGTGACGAGCTCCTCGCCGAGTGCGTCGGCGACTCTGAGACGGCCCAGCTGGGGCATCCCCACCGTGCTGCGACCTGCCCTCGAGGTAGACGGACTGAGAGGTGTTGGGTTCGACGGGCGGTGGCTGCCTGCCCATGACCGCGGGCGCGCAGTAGCCCTTGCCCTGGCCAGCGTACGCGTCCCCGCCGCCCCCAGCAAAGCCATCCCCGTGCAGCTCCTCCTCGTAGAGGCCCTCGCTCGTCCAGAACTGGCCGTCCCCGTAGGTGGTCCAGTCGAGCAAGGGCGGGCCCGCGGGCCCATCAAAGAGGCGCCTGGGGGGGCGCCTCCTCGCCGAGGTGGTCGTAGAAGGAGCCCAGCACCGCCCGCTTGGCGGCTCGCTCCTCCTCGGGCAGCCCGCTGAGGTACCGGTCCACCAGCTCGTCTCTCTTGCGCTTCTGCTCCTCCGCAGATCCGCCGCCGCCGTCGGCCGATGCCTCAGCAGCAGGCCCCCCTGGGGGCGCGGCAGCCGCCGCTGCACCAGGCCCCCCAGGAGGCGCGGCGGCAGCAGCAGCGGGGGCCCCCGTGGCCTGAGGGAGCTCCTTGACCAGCTTGAGCAAGCTCTGGAGGGACTCCACGAGCGGCTTGGGCACCGAGTCTCCGTCGCCCTCGGTGTCCCCCACCAGCTTCTCCAGGTTCGCCACGAGCTGGCTGATGACCGCCTGCCCGCAGTGGGGGCCACCGCCGAGAGGGCCCGCTGCCCCAGCTGGGGCCTGCTCCTCAGCAACCACTCGCCTGGCCAGCTGAGCCTTCTCCTCCTGCAGCTGCTCCAGCTCCTTGCTGGCCGCCTCCTGCATCCGCTGCGCCTCTGCCAGGCGCTGCTGAAGCTCGGGCACGACCTCATCGCGCTGGCGAGCGAGCTTGCGCTGCGCAGCGGCCATCTTGCCCTCCAGCGCCTGCAGCTGCAGGTGCAGAGGCTTGCCTGCCCGCTTCTGGGCGACAAGGGCCGCCCTCTCCGCCCGCTTGGCCTCGATGATGGACCCGAGGCTGGGGTCTGCGAGGGACTCCAGCATGCCGATCGACTTGTCGAGCACCGCGATGGGGTCGGGCTGCTCGGCTGCCTTGGACTTGAGCAGGTCAGTGCCAGCCCCGAAGTAGCCCCAAGCAGCGCCAGCAGTGCCGCGAGGAGCGGGGCCAGCGACGCCCTTGTCCTTGCCCTTGTCTCCCTTCTCCTTGCCCTTGCCCTTGGCCTTGCCCCCAGCTGGGGGGTTGGCCGACTGCCACGGTCGCCGCACTGGAGCGGAGCGGGACGCACGCGTGATGGCCGCCTGGATGTGCTTCGGCGCGGGGGCGAAGCACTGGCGGCACTGCATCTTGGTCGCGAAGTTGCCTCCTGTGCCACAGTGTCCACATGTCCAGGGCTCGGCCCCCTGGAGCGAAGAAAGAAACTGCAGCGACGCATCCTTCCAAGGTGCCATCAACACGCTGTGGCTGGCAAAGAGGACGAGCAGGGCGGTTGAGTACCGAATGTGCCCTGACTGGTGATGTCAGGGTAAAGCTGCTGGGGCCGTGTGCGCCTCTCGGGCGCTCCCCAATGCCAGAAAGTCTCCGTCCGCTGCTGACGCCTGGGCCACGCTACGGACTTGAGCCAAAATGGCTACGGCCTCCTCCTCCTCCTCCTCCTCCTGTTCGTCCTCTTCGTCTTCTTCTTCTGATTCCTAATCGTAATCCTCCTCTTATTAGTCCTCTTCTTATTTTTCTTACTATTCGTAGTCCTTAGTATTATTATGTTTCTTATTCGTCTTCGTCTTCTTCTTCTTATTAGTATTCTTCTTCTTATGATTCGTATTATTCTTATTGTTATTATTCCTCCTCCTCCTCCTCCTCCTCCTCTTCATCTTCCTCCTCCTCCTCCTCCTCCTCCTCCTCCTCCTCCTCCTCCTAGCCCCTTTGGGCCCCCTGGTGTCCAGGAGGGGGGTCGTCCGCGAGCGCACTTGAAAGGGGCGCAGCTCGCGGGAGCCAAGGGCCTCCATGCCATGGCGCGACAGCTCCGCTGGAAACGGCGCCCCACGGAGGCAATCGAGGCTGAGGTCAAGAACCATGTCGGCGTCCTCCTCTGGCATGGACGTCAGGGCCCTCGACATGGTGAAGGCAGCCACGGCCGCAGCAGTCTCGGCGGCGGTGGCTGCGGCGGTGGGTGGCGATCGTCCCCGCCAAGGCCAGGCCGCAGTCGGCCTCGCTGGCGGTCGGGCCGACCCAGGCCCCGATGATGGCGATCGAGGACACTGGGTCGACCAAGGTGGCGGCGCCCCCATCGCCTCCCCCAGGGTCGTGGTCATCGCCTCAGGCGACGCCCTCAGCTCCGAGTGCTGCCAGGACGCGCTCGAGGAGAAGGAGGCGCGCGGGCGGGATGGTCGGCAACCACAACGACCTGCAGGAGCCGCCCACGGTCTGGCTGGGGGCCAGCGTGAACAGCCGTGGGAAGGACCAGAAGGAGAAGACGGAGAAGAAGGACAAGAAGGAGAAGGAGAAGAAGAACAAGGAGGGCAAGGAAGCACGCCTGGTGGACTAGAGCTGCGCCTGGTGAGCGAGGCGCAGGGGCTCCAATACTACGACGTGCTGAAGAGCAAGGGCGTCCGGTACATGGGCTGCTCCGTCACGGAGTGGCATGACATCGGCGAGGAGGAGGGGATCGATGAGGAGTACACCAACAAGGAGGTGGTGTGGTCCGAGCTGGTCGCCTTCCATCGCGAGACGTTCGCGAAGGAGGCCAGGGCTCGTGAGCAGAGGATGGCGCTTTGGAGGCTCGACAAAGGGATGAGAAGCATGGGGTGCTGGCAGCAATGCCAGGCCATGGCAAGGAGGAGAAGAAGGAGAAGAAGGAGAAGCTTTTGGTGCTGCCATCGGTACCAGCCTTCCAGGAGGAGAAGAAGGAGAAGGAAAAGCCCATGGTGCTGCCCACGGTGCCAGCTTTTCCTAAGTTGGAGGAGGAGAAGCAAGAGGACACGCTGAAGGTGCTGATCACAGTGCCAGCTGACGTCCAGGAGATGATGGCGTAGGGCATCCTCGACAAGGACAAGGTCGTGGCGACCCTTGGCGGCATCGACAAGATGGAGAAGAAGGGGAAATGGAGGAGAAGGAGAAGCTGATGGTGCTGCCTGAAGTGCCAGCGGTCCTGAAGATGGGGGAGGAGCAGGAGGGCAACTTCAGGTTTCTCGAGGATGAGGGCCTGATGGACTTCCTCCTGGAGTCGGTCCCCAAGGAGGAGTTACAGGGGTGTGTCGAGGAGGCAGGGGCCACGATCCAGGAGTTCTTCAACAGTGTCAAGAAGCACTTCGGCAGCGGCTCCGAGGAGTCGAGCTTCGAGGTGGGGACCTCAGAGTGCGGGCCTTCGCACTCTGGGGTCCTTTCGGCTTGAGGTGCCTCGAGATCCTCCCCGCCTGGCCGTGTCTCCTTGGGGTGGCGGGGCCTGAGGGCGGTTTTGTTTTTTTGGGGGGGGGGGCTTGCTGGCCTGTTCGGGCTGGGCCTTTGGGGGCCTGGCGTGGCCCTTCTGGGCTTCCGCTCCAGGGGGACCTCGGGGAGGTGGAGAGTTTCTCGAGGCTGGGGCGGCGCGGCCGTGCGCCGAGGAGCGCTCAGCGGAGTAGCGCTCGCATCGTCAGTACACGCAGTGCCCTGCTCCTCCTCCGCCTCCTCTTCCTCCTCCTCCTCCTCCTCCTCCTCCTCCTCCTCCTCCTCCTCCTCCTCCTCCTCCTCCTCCTCCTCCTCGGGCGTGAAAAGAAGAACGACGAACCTTTGTTTGCCATTCTCGGCCTCGGAAGGCCCTCGCTGGGCCCTGGGTCCGTCAGAGGACGGCTCGGAATGAGAAGCCAGTTCTGGAGGATTGGTCGAGACCTCCGGGGATCCAAGCTGTGACGAAATCATGAAGTGGTGGGTCGTGCCCAGGGGACTCGGGGAGCGGTGGGTATGGATACCTGCCCGCTTGTCGCCATCGCTCGGACGTCAATTCCCTGTGCATTTGTTGATGCCGTGCGCTTATTTGTCGCAAATGATCCAATATGCTCGTCGACGGTCCTCGCCGGGGGGACGATGCACACGTCCGAGCGATGCCAAGGCTTGCGCGGGCGGGCAGCTATCCACATATCCACCACTTCTCAAGATCCTGGGGCACGCAGTGGATGTGGACACATACTCTGGCAGTGGGCTCCTGGAGGCGGCCCAGCACGCAGTTGAGGTTGCGCTGCAAGAGGAACGGGTCCTCGATGTGCAACCGCCTGGCGTGCCTGCCTTGCAGGCTCCCGAACCGTGCCTCCGTAGCGGCGAGCCTCTTCCCAAGGCGCACGCTCACCACCTTCGGCGGCGCGCACATGGGGGTAGGGTCGGGAGCGGGCAAGAGGGGGCTGTCCAAGAGGGGGGGGGGTGCAAGTCATGACCGGCGGCACGTGCGCGGCCCAGTGGGGGGGTCAGGGACGTAATGAAATAAGAAGTGGCGCCATGAAATCTGGGGAAATATCATGGCCCCCGCCAAGATATCCACCCCCCCTAGCCATCACACCCCTCTTTGCCGCCCCCGATAGGGGGTGGGAGGAAGCCTTCTTAGAAGACGGCTGCTTCTTAGAAGGCGCCGGCCCTACATCTACTGACAAGGCCGGCGGCCTGCGCCTTCCAAGAAGCAGGGGTGCTTCTGAGAAGCCTTCTCCCCTCCCCCTATACTTAGGTCGGGCATGTCCCTCTACAGGGGGACTTTGGACGAAAAATAGAAAATGCCCCAACAATACTCCAAAATAGTCCAAAATAGTAAAAAAATAGTCCCCAGACTATTTTTTATTATTCTTTTGAATATTCCCCCTGTAGAGGGACAGGCCCGACTTAACCCTACACCCCTCCCCAGACCCCCGACGTCGTGATCTTTTCACAACGTCGACCCCAAAGGTCTTTTCATCCTGAACCGCTTCTTGACGCTCCCGAGGCCTGAGAAGGGCCCCCCGGAGGCCGAAAGCAGCGAAAAACCGCCCGTCGTGGTTCTTGTCGCAACGCGAGGGGGTCTGGGTCTGCCTGCGCGTGGCCGACACCTCCTGACCCTCCCAGAAGCTGCCGCTGTCGCTGTAGAACCGGAAGAAGCTCGGGTCGGGCGAAAGGGGGAGATAGCACCGGGGGGGTTTGAGAGTCAGCTCACGTAGCTGATTTTCCCGGCGCCCCCCTGCGCCGGGAGGCGCCCGTGTATCGAGGAATGGGCCCGGCGGCGGGGCCGAAACCAGCTGCATGCAGCAGATTTCGTACCCCCCCCCCTTTCCCAATTGGGGGGCGGAAAGATACGGATACGTGTTGTCCCCGGACCTCTCTTGGGGTGCGTTCTGACCAAAATTTCGAGGCGAATCCAGCGGTGACAACGAGGATTCCCCAGGAGGACCAGGAAAGGCCGAAAACGAAGGGGGACAACACGTATCCGTATCTTTTTCTCCCCCTTTCCCAATCCCCCCCTTTCGCCCGGCCCAAGAAGCGCTCGAGGAGCTCCACGGGGGCCAGCGCGCAGGACCAGCGGCCGCGGCACGCGGCCACGAGGCGCCCGTCGTCCTGCCCCGCGTGCGCCTCCTCTCGGAACGCCGCCACGGGGAGGCTGGCCGAGGAAGAGAGGGCTGCAGAAACATACAAAGCTTAAGTCGGGCCTGTCCCTCTACAGGGGGAATTCCCAAAGAAATAGTCAAAACATAATCAGTTATTTTATTTTATTTTTTTGTTGAGCTTTTCGGGGGTATTTTTTAGTATTTTTGATTTCTCGCCCAAACTCCCCCTGTAGGGGGACGCGCCCGACTTACTACGAAGCTCTGGAGCTCCGCGTGGAGCTCTTGGGATCGGCGCTGGGCCCCCCTCCCTGGCGAGCGGAGAGCACGCCAGGGGCGGCGCGCCGGAGGTACCACCACGCTGGCCCACCGCGGACCCAAGACATCCTCGCGGAGCTCCGAGCGTGTGTGTGCTTGTGCCGCCCTCTCTTCTTCGAGCTCGGGAGCCGGACCTCCTGGTCCACCTGCATGTAGTAGATTGCGAGGAGCGCGAACGAATAAGACGACAGCCTGCCACGAGAAGCGCCGCACACGCCGGCGACCTTCGCCCAGAGCTTCACCTGAGGGACAACGATCGGGGGGGACTGGGGAATCAGCGATACATCGCCGATAGATCGGCGATGGGCCCCCGATAGGAAGTCCGCACCTTCCTCGGCGGGGCGGGGCTGCCAGACCCCTAAAGCGATTGGGGGTGAATGTATGCCCCCCTGCATCGCTGCCCCGGATCACCGCTTTCACAAGGCTTCGCACCCGGTCGTCGAGGTGCGCGTACCCGCGCAGGAGGCGCGTGTTCTGCAGCCCCCGCGTGTTCTGGCAGGACAGGTCCACGTCGAGCAAGTCGTCGAAGCGAAGCTTTAAGATGGGCACCCTGGCCCGCAGCACCTCTGCGGGCAAGGTTTGTGATGAGGAAGATCCCGATGAGAAGGAGGAGGGGGAGGAGGAGGGAGAGGAGGAGGAGGAGAATGAGGAGGAGAAGGAAAAGGATGAAGAAGAGGAGGCCTCGCGCGGCAGCTTGAGACCCAACTTACGTCGGATCCACGTCGGATTTACGTCGGATGCAGGTCGGATGTACGTCGGAGCATCGCCGCGCGAACTGGATAGCAAAACTGTTGCGCGCCGCGCGAGGTCTCCAGGATTTGCCCCATAAGGATTTGTATCCATATCCACGGTGGCCTGGACTTCGGGAAGGGATTCCAACACCCGAGGCGCTAGGGATACGGATAAAAATCTGGCCTCGCCTGAGGCCAGAACTTCATACATGTTCACTGTGTCCCGGGTTTCTATCGGCGGCGAACGAGTGGGGGAAATGAGACGGAAAAGGCCTTCTCAGAAGGCGGCGGGACTTCTCAGAGGCCCTTGCGCGTTCTGAGAATTTTTTCCTGTCTCCGGGGAAGGCTCAGGAAACTTCTCAGAAGCTCGAGGGGCTTCCAAGACTTCTGAAAGCCCACGCCTTCTCGCTTCCCCCCCTCGCTCGCCGCCGACTCCGAGGACGGGAGCCCAAAAATCCGAGACGCAGTGGAAGTGGAAATGGAGGAGGAGGAGGAGGAGCAACCTCCTCCAAGATCTTGAAGCGGGGGTGATCCCGGAACAGCGGGCCGATCTTCTCGGACATGAGGCTGGCCGGGGTCTGGCCGGCGGGCAGGCCGCCCCGGCGCAGGCAGGTCACGTCCACGTCGGCGCCGCACGTGTGGAATGTGCTGGGCACGCTGCCGAAGAGCCTCACGCACCACTCCTCCCCGGCCTGCGTCAGGGTGGCCTCCAGGCTGCCGAGCGCCGCGCGGATCCGGGCGCCCTCCTCCCACCTCACGGCGCTCTGTGCCAGCCTCTCCTCCAGGAGCCTGCCCAACTCCGCGACCCTGGCCTCGGCGTGCGCTGCCGGCCTCTGCTGCATCTCTACTGGCGCGCCGTGTGGTGCTGAGACTGGCCGATTTAAAAATCAAGCTGCAGGCTCGCTCTGACAAACCGCATTCGCTGGAGCCCGTCACGGTTTTCGACCTGCTCGAGGCTCGAGCGGACGACCGACGACGACCGACAACGAGGACGAGGACGAGGACGACGGACGACGACGGTAGACGACGGACGACGACGACGACGACGACGACGACGACGACGACGACGACGACGGACCGACCGACCGACCGACCGACCGATCGAGACGACGACGACCGACGACGACGACGAGGACCAACCCACTGACCGACCGACGACCCACGACCGACGACCGGACCGACCGACCGACCGACGGACCGACCTACCGACGACGACGACCGACCAAGGACGGGCCAGCCGCACGCGCACGAGGGCGCGCGCGCACTGGCCACCTTTGAGGGCGAGGCGCGGCTGAAATGCTCGGGACTGCGCCCCCGGGCCCGGCCTGGCGCCCTCCCTCCCCCGCCGTGTGCATATCATTACAACCCGAGGCGTGGAGTGGTTCCAGCCCTCATGCCTCGGAAAGCGTTCCAGCCGCCCAAGCCGACGAGACAAGCGCGCTTCAGCCCATCATCTTTGCGAGGGAACGCGTTCCAGAGGCACACGGTGCGGATTCCAGCCCTCACTTTTTACGAGGGACTGTGTTCCAGCCGCTCATGCGGACAAGACGAATGCGCTCCAGCCCCTCATTTGCACGAAAGAACACATCCAACGAACAGGCCGACCGACCGACGAACGACGACGGCACGGACCGACCGACCGACAGACCGACCGAAACGACGACGACCGACGACAACGACGAAGACCGACGGAACGACACACCGACCGACCGACGACCGACGACCGCAACGACAGACGGACCGACCGCATCCGTCCGAAAAAAAAGCACTGAGCCACGCCTGGGCCACAGCCTCAACTAAAGCGGACGAACACACCTCGTGAAAATTCTCACTAGCAAATGATGCTGCTGACTGTGGTGAACGTGCGCATGACACTTTACACCAGTGTGTAGACGTGCACGAGTGTGTTGGTCTCAACATTACCGAACTCAGCCTGCATACACGCATGCCGCATGAATACGACGAGCGGTACGCACACCTGACGCGCTCAGTACGTACACGCGTACATGTGCATGCTCACTTCTCCCGCTGCTTTGCGAAGAGTGGCATGGTCGATGCAACCTGGATCTCACATTCGGTAGGGGTTCTACTAATATTTGCGATCACGCCGGTACTGATGGAACACTGCATGCTCGAAATGTTCTGTTCACGTACGGCCCTCGGCGCGCTGGGGTGAGATGGTATGCCTCTCACCGCGTGCCTCCGAACAAGAACCACCCCCTACGGTTGCCTCTCCACCATGTCCACGGCCCCAGGGCGGCTACAGGATGGCCCGATGCCTCCCCCAAGGCAGCTGCACCATGGCCCACGATCTACCCACGTAACACAGGCCAACAACTCCCCGAAACCACAACATGCCTCCAATAGCACCGCAAGAACCGCCCAACAAGCGGCAGCGGAGCACTCCGACAATTTACGGGTGAGCAAACGTTAGACTGCACTGGCTCTTCGCGTCGTGCAACTTGGTATTTAAGTTCGGCATGCAAGCTGAACGTGGGGATATCTATATGATGACCAAACATAGCGGTAACTGGTAGCTCCTGGTGGCGGCTTGCGCCCTGCGCACTGGCCCATGAAAAGCCATGGGAAGCCATATGAACACATGCGGGGTTCGGGTCAGACGCCCTGTGGACACGTGCAGCCGTGCAGCAAAATAATGCCTTTCGGTGACCATCGTGTGGCTAGCACATGGGCTCGCTCGTGGCATAGGTTGCCTGGTCGCGCAATGCAATGCAGTGGGAAGCAATGCGAATGAATACCAAGAAACCCTCGGTGGGAAGCCGACGTCGCGAAACCTCGGTGGGACGATTCTTCCGAGATGCGGAGAGGCAGCAACACTGCGGGAAGTAACCACCTTCCTCTGACACGACTGCCTCTCAGGGGCTTTGTGGACCTCTGGAGGCCTCTTGGGCGCGTGTTGAAGGCGTTTGTGGGCTCCCACGTACCTGTCGCGACAGGGCCTGTGAACTCTGGAGCCTTTCGCAGCCATGCCTTCTTGGGGGTTCTTGTGGGTCCCATTTGGGCAGTTTCCCTGGGGGCCTCTGGAGCCATCCTGGAGCCATCCTGGGGCCATCTGGGCCGTCCTGGGCTGGCTTGGGAGCCTCCCATGGCCCTCTTGGGCCTCCCTTTGTGGAACGTCTTGGGAGCCTCTTGAGCCCCCTTTGGGTCGTCTTGGGGCTCTCTTGGGCTGTCTCGAAGCTCTTTTGGGTTATCTTGGAGCTCTCTTGTAGCCCTCTTGGGCTGTCTTGGGGGAGTTTCGTGTTTTTCCAACGCACGCGACATGGGAGAAGAAAGGAGGAATCCGCTGCCCCTCAGGAAGGCGATCCAAAACACCACAAACAAAGATTGCCAGAAAGCCGAACAGGCAAAAAAACTGCAATGGCCCTGAAGCTCGGAAGCACCCACACTCGAACCATGGTTGTCCTGCAGACATGGCCGAAATTCTGGCCGCGAATTGGCGCAGAGAAGGGGGGAAGGAAAAAGGCGCGGAGGAGGGGGGAACACACGGGAAGGCAAATATTAGACTGCGTACCTGGCTCACCCCAGTCCAGTGCAGAAACGCAAAACGCACTGAGACTGCAATGCGCCTGAGCTCGGCAGAGCAAAACCCGGCATGCCGAATAATCTGTGTGAAACATGGCCACGCTATGAGGGCAGGCGGCCGGCCACAAGGACACTGCGGGCTCACTGCCGGTTCCCTGGACAGGGAGCGACCGGCAAGCCCAGAGGGCCCCCTCCACCAGCCACCTCCGCGTGCACCGGCGTAGACGTCAATTACCGCCAGCATTCGTATGTGAGCGAGGAGGAGGCAGGAAGAGGCGGCGAGCAGGATCACCCTGGCAGGGTCAGCCGGCGCTCCGCCTCCAGGAGGCGAGGGCAGGAGAAAGGGGACGAGGGGGAAGGAAAACTAAACTCGATTGCCGGGCGCACTGCCTCCCCGGAGCCCATCGGCCACGCGGCCAGGACAGAGGGGACACGATTGCTTGCACTGCGTCGCGCCCAAGTCTGCGGCGACAGAAGGGGGAAGGAGGGGAGGGTAAGAGGGAAAAGGAGGAAGGAGGATATGCAACCCTCTTGGTTACCCTGGAAGCTTGGCGGGCCATACACTACCACGACCCCCCTGCGCCAACGCAGACGCGCGATAAAAAAATGTTCATCGAACTAAACCGGGACATCAACGCGAAAGGGCAAAAAGGAGCAAAGCGAGTAGAAGGAAAGCAAAGGAGTAGAGGGGAACAAAAATGCGGACAGAGCTCCCCTGTACGCGACGTCGCCTCCCAGAGAGTTCCCTAGAAATCGCCGCCCAACTGTTCGCTAGTGACGCGCCCATGCCTCAGTGAATTGTGGACCCGGCACAGGGCGTGTGATTATCGCCCTGCTCAGCGCGATGATCTCCGCGTATGGCCAGTCGAAGCCCCCCAAAAGGTACAACTCCCCGCCCAGCATGCTGGCGGCGCCAGCCCAGCGCCTGCTGCCAGGAGCCGGCGCACCATTGAACAGTGGGCGAAGTGCAGCACCCAGTCGGGCCTGCCACCGCAACCGAATAGACAAGGAGTTTGGCCGCGAGAGCAGCGGCTGGGGCACCAGCCACCACAGAGTGTCCGCAAATAACCAGCGCAGTGACCCGAGGCCCGAGGCGCACTGTCCGCCGCCGCGCGCTGGTGTCGCGCCAACGCCTGTGCAACGGGTGCCCCGGAAACGTGGCGACTGGCCAGCGGTCCAGGCGGCGTCGCAGATGCCGCCAAGGCAGCTCGCCGTCGTCCGCCCGGCACGCGACGGCCCCCTGGCCCTGCCAGCCCGTCCGCTCGCCCAAGCGCACGCCGCCGTGCGGGGGCCGCGATTGCCAGGGCTGCACCTGGCGGTCTGCCCCGGACAGCTAGAGCAAGGAGCACTGCGAGCGCCAGGGCTGCAACCAGGCCTCGCGGCCCAGCGCCTGGGCGCCCCCCTGGCTGGTCAGCGCCACCGTTCGCGCCGCGCACCGACGCGCGCCAAAACGACCGCCGTCCTCGAACCGGACCGCCCGCGCCTTGGCGGCGAGCGCGGTCGTCAGGTCCTCTAAGTGCCGCGGCATCTGGAAGTCCCTGAGGCCCTTCAAGCAATCAGTAGTCAGCCACCCCGGCGGGCCCGGGAACACGGCCCTGCGGGCGCTCTGCTCCGCGGCTGCGAACTCCGGCGGCGCCGCGTCGCGCCGCGCCGTGAACAGGAAGGCCGACGCCGCGCATATGCCAGATGCCGCAGGCGCGCAACGCGAGAAAGGAACCAGCATCAATACGTTTCCAAACGCGCGCCCTCTCGGCGTACTTGGCCAGATGGGCAGCCCGCGCGCGATGCCCGAGGTCGGGGCCGAGGTGGAACTCCAAGTTTTTCGCGGGGCCGGCAAAAGCTGCCCCGCCGCGGCGCCGACGTCGCAAGCTCCCGCCAGAAGTCGAGTTCCAAGCGCGCGTCGAGGGGCGCCAGCGCTGTCTTGGGGGCGTCGAGGCCCAGCCCCGAGATCCGGGCGAAATCGGCGAAGAATGCCTGTGGCGCGGAAGGCCTCGGTCAGCGCCCCCAGCAAGACCGCGGCGCGATAGGGTCGGCGCAAGCGCGGGGCGCGGCGACAGGGGAGGGACGGGCGAGTCTGCGGGGGTAGAGGTCAGGCACAGCAGCGAACAACAATGGTGATCAAGGACGTCCTTGGCGAATGCCCCTCGAAACCCCATGCCAGCGCGCGCCGATCCGCCCGGCGCTATTTGGCAATGGTTGCGCCAACGCATGCGGGCGATGAAATTGCGCAGCCGCGCCGACGAACGCAGCTAGCGGACAAAAAAAACGAATGTAGAAGCCCGTGCTCCATCGACGGGAACATTGCGGTCAAGTCGATGAAGAGCTCGCGCGCCCCTTTTCCGCCCGCGTGGCCTCCGCGATCGATCATTGCTTCCTCCGCGTCTAGAATGTTCGCCAGCATGGGCCCTCAGGCAAGAACCCTGGCGGAGGCCCGCGATGCGCTGCACGACCCGCGGCTCAAT